TTTCCTGTTCATAAATTATCATACCTAGTCCAGTGCCTTTTCTAATATGCTTGTGTCCGCATGTGCATTCGTCTTTAGTGAGGAACTGCATCAAAAAGATTTTTGGTAGTCTAGGAAGATGCACTCTATCCAATCTTCCTTCTCTTATTTTGTTGACCATGTCATAAAATTAAATTAAGTTAAAGCATGATTTTGCCTTTCTGAAGCCATGTTGTGCCTCTGTTATAAAATTTACTTCCCAAATGTTCTACAGTCCTTTTTCTGATAACGTTCTACAATCTTGCATGGAATGCATGTTAATGATGCTCGTTTATAAGTGAATGTTTTATGTGGAATGTATACAAGAAATGCTTTGTCAAGAATGCAAGGAAGTGTGTTGTTGAAAAACCTGGTAGAAGAACGAGAGAAATTGCTTTGAGAGACGAGTATGGGGCAGGAGCAGTCAATACAAAAAATAAATGTTTTTATGAATAAAGTGATTGATGAGGGGGGGGGGGAACTATGATGATAGTAAAAGGTATGAGAAAATTTATTTTATTAAAAATAAGAATATTGTATGTGAAGAAAAATAACTCGGAAAACAGAGATTTTGTAAAGGAAATTTAGCAGAGAAATTGGGGAGTACTTATGAATTACAGAGGCATTACTTTAGTTATGTGTAATTTGTATGGCAAGGCATTTAGAGATGCCTTGATCAGCGATGATCAAGGTGAGATCTGTGGTAAAAATGGTAAGTGTGTAGATCAGACAATTGTATTACAGAATTTGTGCGAGATACTGTATGATGTATATGACATTGATTGATTGAAAAATCATGTGACATGATGAGTTGGGAGCGTGATGAACATGAATGGAGTTGGTAGTGTTCTTTTTAATACTATAAACAATTTTATGTAGGTATGAGTGAATGGTGGATATTAATGTAAAGTGCACATTAGTGTTGTCACCCTGGTTATTGGTTATTCAATGTACATGTGGATGGAGTCATGATAGAGGTGATGGTAAAAGACTCGAGAGGTATGTAAACATTGACTCGAGTACTGTAATTGGAAGTTTACTATATCCAATTTGATGCATGCAGATGATTGGTCTTTAAGCAGATAGTGAAAAAAACTATGTAGACTAATTGGAAATTGTGTAGTGTGTAAGAGATGCTAAAAGTGAATGTGGAGAAAAGTGCAAAAGTCATTAACCTGTAAGATTGAGGGGGGCATACAGAGATGAATTAGGAATATTAAATGAATAGATAATAGTAAACAGATTGAGAACATATTGGATTGATTTTGAGAGAAGAAAAGGAATCTCAGGAAAAATGAGTAAGGGAGGTAAGTTAAGGTAAATGATCAGGAGAAAGAGCCAAGCCATTACTACTATATAGCACTTGTAAGGGATACGAGGACAAGGATTTGGAAAAAAAAAACAAAGGGAAGGAATATAGTACCTAACCACGTGGTTGGTGAGGGATTGAATGCCAACCAGCTAGAAGCTAACCTTGCTCTGCCATCCAGGCCAAGTGGCTTGGAGAGTGTGTGGACAACACATGAGATATGGTAAGTGACAAACCTGAGTGAAGGCAATTAGTAAGATAGGAATAAATGTATTTGTATATAATGTATGGCAGTTCACGAGGAACACTTCATACTTGTGAAGAGGTGAGGTACTTGTTTGTCCATGATGCTGTATATTGTATGTACATTTTGTGAATGATGTAATGAATGAATTGACAAGTGATATACTTAATATTTTATTATTTGATAGCTATACAGTACCTTCTTGTACTATATTACTTGCCCATTTTTTCTGGCGCCATAACCCATGAAAGTGGGAAACAGGCAAAAAATGATGTATGTATTTATGACATTTTGTTATTGTTAGTTGAATCTGTACTATTTTGTTCAGTTCCTGTCATTAATCAGTTACGTAAATCTGTCATTAATGTGAATTATGTTATGTTGTAATTTTGTATTCAACTGTTTTTATTAGACTTTTTTAATAAAGAATTATTAGCTACCATAACTTGAGATATTAATTATGATTCAATAATTTTGGAAATGCTGTAACAAATCATTGTACATTCAAGATAATTGATAGCGTAATTTATTTTTACACTAAAGCTATATAGTTTCCCAGCCGGGCATCATCTTTTGATACATTAAACAAGGTAGTTTTACTCGAATTCTAAATTTACAGATGGAAATGTGGAATTTATCTGTAACCAGAGCAGCTTCCAAGACTTCCTTAAGTCAATAAAATAGATTTCAGTAGGATGGAGACCTGACATATATTGCCTTAATTCCTCCTGGGTGCTTTCTATCTGGTGTTGGCCACATCATATAGTTTCTCCTGGAGGATCTTATCACTATACAGACCTTTCACCCTGCTTTTTATACTGTACTCAACTTTTACATATATGGTTCTTCTCTTCCCTTCCAAGATGACAACTCTATGCCTCAATTATGTGATCCTTTATTTTCACCCTTCTTGGTAAATTATATTTTTTCATTATAATATAGTACTGTATTCACCTCTCTTCAATGCTGCTCTCCCCAGTATACTTGTCTTATTTCACTTTTAATACTCCCTTTTTTAACTAACACTTCCTCTGAATATTTAAAACTTAATTAATACCTCTTCCAGTATATTTTCTCCTATTTTTATCATATACTTTAAGTCACTGTCTTACCACTGTTGGTTTCTATAAATTCATGATATCTTATTCCCTTTTCTCAAACAACAAAATCTTACTTTTTCCTACAATGTCCCTCACTTTCTATTTTATTTTGCATTACCAAACAAAATAATCTTTGGTAATTCCACCTCATCATTTGCAAACAGACATGCAACAAATTTTTTTTTTATCCCTGTTACTATTTACTTTCTTCCTACTTCTGGCATTCTTGACTTTACTTTCATAACTAACCTACCCATATACTAACAGCAGCGGATCTCATCGAAACCTTTAAAATACTGAACAATTTCAGTCCCACAATGTAGGACTGAAAAAGAGAAGATGCCTTTTCACCCAGAGGGTTGTAAACCCGTGGAACTGCCTACCCCCGAAGCCGCAAACGCCAAAACTTTACTGGGTTTTAAAATATAGCTGAAAAAGATCATCAGGGCAAAGGGGGGGGACCTTTGACAAGCTGCCGACTTCCTGTCCTTGTCGAGGCCACTAGTATTAATGGCCTTCGGGTAAATATATACTGTATATTAAAGAAGTTGGGATAATCAGTGACGTAGCCACGTTCTAAAGTTAAAGGGGGAAGTGAGTACATAAAGAAAAGGTGCCACCACACAAATAATTTAAAACTCATACATTTTATTTTGTATTTAAAATCAAAGGGTGTTACAGGTACAGTATTATCCAAAACTGGTATGAATCTGTTGAGTATTCCATGTGTCAATGATCACACATAGACCGGACGGTAGTCTGCAGAAGTTCACAAGTGAACTGGAGTTAAAAAAAAAAAATGGAAAGGCTCCACTTTTGAAGAACTCTTGGGCTCTTTTTGAAGACTCTTTAGGAGCGGCCGTTCGTTCCCTCTGCACCACTGGAGAATACAAATACAAATATTTATTCAGATAAAGTACATACATACAAGGTGAAATACAAAAGTTGATGGAT